ATCGAGAAGGCGTTCTTGGGGGGACTTCGCCGCGCGCAGTTTGCGTGATACAACGGTTATTTCCCTAACATCGATATTCCTAATAGCGGAATATAGCGTGTTGTAGTCGTCGAGTGTGGGCTCTGCTTCATGTGCGTACGAGGTTGTCCGCGGTGGGTCTGCCTTTTTGGGCCCCCAGGGAAAGACTGGAGGCTGCATTGGCTTGGTGAAGCCCGGAGGGGGCCGAATTATGCCCTGAGGGGGCCCTAGGGGGACCCTGAGAGTGTCGAGGGAAGCCCTGGATGGGCTGAGAAAGGCCCTGACGGGGCCGTTGTTGGAGGGCTGGGAATGAGCGGTCATTCACCGGCGGTGGAGCTTGCCTACTGGGGCGAGGTTGAGGTGCGCGTGGGCAACCCTTGTAGTTGGCCGGGTGTCCTGTCTGGTTGCACAGGACACAAGCGGGCGGGGATTCGGCGTCTTTGGGCCGGGGACACTCTTTTGTGTTATGTGGTTCTAGGCACTTAACGCACCTGGGTGGGGCGGAGCAGTTGGCCGCCGCGTGACCATAAAGTTGGCAGCGGTGGCACTGCGCCGGGAAACCGGGCCTATGTGGGGGCTCTACCTTCACCCTTGACAGGCCACACACTGTGCGTACCTGCCGGAAGATGGCTTTAGCCTCCGGCACGTTCGATAGGATTACTAGGGCAAGGTTGTATCTCTTGCCCGTTCTGTTGTGCATTTTGTGCACTGCTTCTACGGGGAAACCTTGGGACTTAAGGTCCTCAAGGATTTCCTCGTTTGATAACTCAAATGGGACGCCTCGGATGACGGCCCTGACTTTACGCTCTTCCGGGAGAGCGTACGTGTGGTAGGAGATTCGTTCGGCTGTGAATAGCCGGGTGATCTGACGGAAGTCCTCGATCGAGGCAGGGATGATTTTGATCGCCTCCCCGAGGTTGACGGCATGATCATACTTGATACCTGCGTCGTAGCAGGTTTTGGATAATTGGGTGAATTTTGCCTTGTCTCTTAGGAAGACAGGGGGGCGGGACTTGCTTCTTAGCAAGGACTGGAGCACAACGAGAGGCTGGTTTGGGCGGTTTGGGGATGTCTAGTGACATCAGTGGGACGGCGGCAGCGTCGAGGGCTGCGGAGGTTGTGGGAGCGGCAGGGGCCGCTGAAGTAGGGGGGGTGCGTTTTAACGCGGCGCGCTTACCGTTGCGCTTGGAGGTGACGGTGGTGAAAGTGGACTCCCCGGTTCCGTCGGAGTCAGAGGACTCCGATGAACCGGAGCCTGAGGTGGTGGCGGGCCTCTTCCGGGAGGTCGGTGCCGAGGACTCGGAGCATGCGTACTCCATTTCTAAGGGGGCAGATTCTAGCGGGGCAAAGGAGTTCCTCGTTTCGAGGTAAGACGCGATTACCGGCGGCGGAAGGTGTGCCTGAGGGGCAGGGAGGGGAGCCTGGGCGGCGATGGTGGCGATGGCGGCGAGGACCGTCTCATTGCCATTTAAACCGAATTGGTTAATGAGGGCGGCGAGTGACTCAGTGAAACTTTGCCCATTTTGGGTCAGTGCAAGCTAAGCTAGGTAAGGGTGAGGACGGGTCCCTGTTCTCGGTAGAACAGGGACTAGATCGCGAGACGTACTACGACACACTATACACGTAATATTAGTGCAAGAACACAAGAAAATATGACAGTACACAAAAAAAAAGAAAGATAAATGAAAATGAAATGACAAGTGAAAATGAAAAATGAAAATGAAAATGAAAAGCGGAAGTCAGTCAGACCTCCCTGCCCGAAGACAGGGGGGCAAGAACTGTAGCGAGAAAGTGACTCACCGGCAGCCTCGACGCTGTTCCACGTGAGCAGGACAGCGGAGGCGCGTGAGAGCGAGACAGCACTACCGTACTGTACGGGAGCGCGGACCACCTGGAGGAGGAGAGTCCGAGAACGATGCCACCGGCGGACTGAGCACTGCGTCGGCGCTGTACAGCGCGAGCGGGACAGCGGGGGCGCGAGAGCGGGAGAGCACTACCGTACAGGAACGAAAGCGCGGACTACCTGGATGCTACCGCTCGGAAGCGATGCCACAGGCGGAATGCTCTCCTCCTTTTTTTTTTTTGCGCCCGAAGCAATTAAAGGGCTACCCTATACGTAGGGAGGCGGAAAATGCATTACGCATACCACGATAGCCGGTCTATCGTGGTTATGAGGGGCTCACTGTCCTACCGGGGACCCTAAGTGATACCCTCTAAAAACCGCCTTTGGGGACAGGCAACCGGCTGATTAAGCTCTATTGTGCCTTATCTTGAGCGACCCTCTTTTGGGAAAAGAGGGCGCAGGCGGCTAAGTGCCGCTGAGGGAGTGCCTACGAAGGCAAATTAATGTTAGTTATTACAATAATTTTATTTAATTAGAGTTGGCCTGAGCCGCCAGGAGACAGTTCAGGTCGTTTGAAAGTTTATTAGGCGGGTCCGAGAGAGAGTTTCTCGGCCTGCGGACACGATAGCGAGAGGGGGGTGGGGCTGCATAAGAAGCTGCCTCACGAATTAAATGGTTTGGGTGCGACTCTGAGGCTTTGAAGAAGTTCTCAGAGAGTTTTTTAAAAAATTGTTGAATTGTTGGGAGCTCTAAGTCCCGATGAAGGTCGGCATTACGGACGTACCACGGTGCGTTCGCAGCTCGACGACAGAAGAGGTTCTGAACTATTTGGAGTTCACTTAAAATGTTAGGGTTTGCGTGGGCAAAAACGGGGCTCGCGTAGGACATGACTGGTCGTGCTCTCCCTCCGCGCCTCCGGGCTCTTATATACACTCTAGGGGTAGGGCAGACAAGACCACGTGGATAGTGGGGTGCTCTGATTCGGTTTTGGGTACTTTTTGGATATTAAATAAGTAAGTCAATAAGTAAGTAAACACTTTATTGTAGTGAGAATTAGATAATACAGAAAGTTGCAAACAATAAAATAAAAGTACAAAAGCTGTACTAATTAAGAAATACAAACAAGTTGCATACTATGAAATACAAGTACTAAGGTGGAACTTAAATAGTGTAAACTTTATTCTTCTTTATATACATATATAATTGCACTTGTCAGCTCTTCCTATGCATCTAATTGGTTTGTCATAATTTTTCGTCTCCAAAATTAACGAAATGTACTCGATACCAAGTAGTATTGATACTTTTGATACGATACTTGGTATCGAGTAGGTATCGATACTTTCAAAATATTCGGAACCCTACACAAACTGACGTTTGACATCAATCATTTGTCAAATTTATTTTGTAATTGTGTGTTATTTACCAATTTGTATGAAAAGTTTAAAAAAATATATCTCATGAACCGTAAGTTTCCGCAACCTAAAACTTTGTAAAACGCTTTCTTTTAGTGAGTATTATCTACAAAAAAAAAATATGGGCCTTGAAATCGATGGTCCATATTGGAAATATTAGCCATTTTTCTGTCTGAAAGCTTTATTATTTTAGCGCATGACAATTTTTAATTAAAAATCAAACAAAAAGATTAATGACTTCTTACGCGAACACTACACATGGAATAAAACTAATTTTATGGATGGACGATTTTGTCGCGTTTAATTCTACTTATTTTTAATTCCAAACTATTGAAAAACGGTTTTCTCGATCTGTTCCCAAAATGGCGACAACTCAGGTGGTACGAGTGGAGTTCTTCTTTCAGTTAAACTCGATGTAATTTTAGACACTCCTGTTTATGCTTCAATTCCACGCACTGAGGCATTGGGATATCTCATATGGTATCAGAGATCTACTCTCATTAGTCCTTTGTTATGTAAAAAAGATTAAAAGCCTTATATGTGTTGTCAGGATCATCATAGATTTGTTTATTTTAGTTATTTCCATAGCGTACTAACGTGGATATATAATCATATGGAATGTTGCTATGGGATAATGCGACTGATATAAAAATATCCTTGTTTGGCATAGTACAGCCATAAGAACAATTTATAACCTCAGTACAATGGAGGGAAGCATTTTGAGAAAAATTAAATAAAATAAGTATATTAACTTTGGCATCAGAATATTTACGAAAATTTAATATATGTATGTACACAAAAAAATAAGCTTTATGAAAAATAGTGATGTACATTCTGTAAATACTATTACGGAATGTACATCATTATTTTTGATAAAACTTATTTTTTGTGTACATACATATATTAAATTTTCATTTGTGGAACAAGCACAAGTTAGTTATAATAGTTAAAGACTCGAAATAGTGATTTCTTCATGGAGCAATGTACTCGTCAATGTTTTTGTAAAATATATCTATCAATCAAAAATATTTTTTTTTAATCAAGCAAAAATTATTTAAGGGTTATTTATTCTATTAATATACTATGACTAAATAGTACATGTTTGATAATAACTCCTGGGAATGAGGTGATCGCTACCATGGTATGCTAAATATTTTCATACTTAATTGCATAAAATGTCATAATGTACATTGAATAAAAAATATTCTATGCTGTTGCGTTCGGATCTCAATCGTTTTGCTCGATTAGAAGGTCGTCTCGGGGGCAGCATTTACTGCTTCGAACATTCTCGCAGTGAGACTCACAGAAAGCCTAGCATGCATTTAAATAATGTTTAATTAATAAAAAAAAATAAGTTGCAACCTGCTTTTATTAAAATATGCAAACATTTTTCAGGACTGTGGGTTAAAAAGTTAAACGATGTAATAATTTTGAGTACCTACGTGTTTGGGCTAATAAATGTTTTTTTTAAACTGAGGCAAATGTTTTTTTTATTTAAAAATGAACATAATTTACAAAAACGTTATTCAAGGCCACGTCACAAAATAATAAAAAAAGATTTTTTTTTTATAAAGTTTACAGTACTAAAAATATCTTTACATCAACTTTGGACAATAATTTTACATGAACATGACTAAGAATTTGTGTATGTGTGATAAGTGAAGTTGCTCCTACTATGCCACATCTGGAAATAACAGTTCCATTAAAAGATGCTACTTTTGTTACAGATATTTATATTTTAAAACGAGGCGCATGCACTTGAAGTAAACTTCAACAGGACTTGTATGTTCTTATAAAAATAAATAGATTACTTTCTCTGGAACAGTTTGGTTTTATTTCTAAAAACTGTTTTTAGTTTACAACCTTAACTGTCGAACCAAATCGCATTGTAAATGAAAATTAAATTTTACATTCAAACAATGAATCGAATTTTAGGCTAAGTTTCAACTTGGATCAAGTTAGCAATGTAATCGTTAAAGTCAAAGTTTTCTAATGAGTCTGGTGTAGATTTTACATGCGGTGATTAGATCTTGGAAATATACATATAGTTACGGTTATAAAAGTTAAAAAGTAATAAAAGTTTAAGAACGGTTTTGCCCTTGTAAAACAGTGCACATAAGCAATTAACACACTATACAATTTGCGTAGAGCGATCACAACTCGACCATACCATACTACGTGCCAGTCATAATTACACATGTAGTGGATGTAATTACACGATAACGCTGAAACAAATTAAGTATGCAAAGCGACAGAAATACTGTTTATCACGACGTCGGCTTTGTAGCAGAATATTCTGCTACTTCTTGCGGAATAATTATAATGAGAGAAACCCCTGTCAAGTAACGTAGACTACGCGCGGTAAATATAATGTATAAATAGATAAATTTTAAGAAAAAAATTATAGAATTTAGTATAATTTATTCACAAAATAAATACAATAGAATGGCCTTAGGTCACTGGTCTGTTCTCTTGTGTAAAAGCCCAAAGAGTATTTTTAAATAAAATATATTTAAATATTAAAGTCGATTAGAACTATTAAAATAAATGTCATAGTATAAAATTAAATTAAATACAAAATAGTAGTACAAATAAGTACAAGATATGTAAAACAATTACAAGCAATAAACAAGATAACCGATTGAATGACCCTTGTTGGCGACGCGAGATAATCATCTCATTAAATCTTTATCAATGTTTCTTATAGATTAAACGTTAAGAACATTTAATTTTAATAAATGCTAATGTCTGTGTGAAATTGAGTAGTATTAACTTAGAGTCATGCATTATAAAATATTCAGCAATGTAATACGATATGAATAAAGGATTAAGAACATTTTACTGCCTTTTACTTTACATTAATGTTTTAATACACAATAAGACATTCCGATGTGTTAGATATGGACAGTTTAATGCTAGAGTGAAAAGGTGTATACGTATCGACAAAGACAAGTATAAATGTTAGAAAAGGATTTCAGGAGCCTCCTATATAGTCCAGAGCAGACATACTCAACCTTTTTTATAGGGGCCATAAACACGTTTCAGTTATGGCGTCAAGGGCCGCAAGCAAATATTATTTAGGTCTTAATTGAAACGTAATTCCAAGTTAACAATTTATTTACTTTATTAATGAAAAAAGAAGTTTTAACATAGATGTTTATATGCTTTAATGCGTTTTTTGATACTGTGAGCCCTTTTTTAAGACTTTTTCAAGATTTGGCTTGTCGCTACATGTTATCCTTATTACCTCATCCAGATAAAGCGGGCTACATACGACATGATATCGGTGGCGAGCTAGGGTGGAATAGTGGGGATGCCTCCTAGATTGCCTCTAAATCGTGTCGTATGTAGGGCCATCCTAAGTCGTGGCCGATATCGCCTCCTTAATCGGCTGGCAGGAGCAAAAATGCAGCCGATGCTTCCTAGATCGGGGCCCCGCCCCCTCCGTACTGCGTGTGTGTAGGCGCATCGGCCCGATTTCTTTTGGCAGTCGCTGCCGGCAGCACTCGCGGAAGGACGTTAACGAAACAGTGATACTGAATGACCTTTTTTACATAACAAAATTTTTACATTTTAAACATGTGAACGGAGTAGAAGCCTATGGCACTGATATTTTACAAACAACAAAAAAAGTCAATAAATAAATTAATTAAAATCTATCGAAATTCAAATCATATCCACCCTAGCCCGTGATCTGGCGAAGTCAAGAAAGCCTACTTAACTAACTGTTTTATTGCCGTTCATAAAGTAGGGTGTATGAAGTAAGTAAGGAGAGGATAAAGCCTCTCCTCAACAACTAACTCCTATTCCAACGCTATCAACACAAGACCGCACTCAGATCCCTTACGTGCCTTCATCCTCTCATCAACAACTAACTCCTACTCCTTCACCATCTCCACATCAACAAACAAGCTATATAGAAGGGAGTATGTCCGAAATTAAAGGTTTCTTTATGTTTAAAAAAAAAGATATAAGCTATTTTATTTTTTGATATGGATTAACCATAAATAAAGATTACATTAAAAAAAGTATACATATTATTATACAAAAGTATTTTATTTCTTTGTTTGTTGTGTGTAGTACATAACCCGATTTTGACCAAAGCAGAAATTAACAAAGAGAAGAAATAACTAAATAGCATAGGTAGGAGAAATTGATGATTTTATATAAGTTGCGAAATCATAAATATAGAAAAATTCTAGAAGGTTGTAAAAACTGTCTTCATCCATCCGGAGAAAATTAACCATGTCTTTGGATTACAGACCATTTAGTACGTTTATGTGGCTTAATTTTTGTCTCTTTTGGAGCCATTTTTTCACCCAGCAACTCCTCTTTTTCTATTTTCGAATAAATTAACCAAGATGGCTAATTCCAAACCAACACGTTGGTGTTTTAAGAGAGTCGGAGGCATTTTGAAGAACTCTACCGCATATGCGTTCCGCTCCAAGTCCCAACGCGTACTGCTAGGCAGGCCCGTGTGTAGAGTCTGCCTCGATAAAAGCCCCGATTTCTTTCCTCCCTAGATCGCCACCGATATCGTCTCGTATGTAGCCCGCTTAAGAATCCGTAAGTTTGATTCTGTACACGGTCTTTGAGTATTTCATTTTTGAATAAAACGATTTACACACATATTACGTAGATCCAAAGGATGTTAGTAGTATTTGGTAGTAATATAAAAGCGTCCAAAGATGTGCTCTTTGGACACTTTTATATTTTTGGGAAGCATTACTCAAAAATTCCACATATTCCCTGTAGGCCATTTTTAGCATTGATAGCCGGCCGAGCTATTTTTTGGCGAGTTAAGTGCTCCCGCGCGTCTCCCGCCACCCGCAACTAAACTCGCCGTTCGTGTAAACGGGCGAGTTTAGTTCAGTGTTAAGTTCACAGGACGCAACGTTTGCGCGCCAAAACGTACAGTTGTACTTTTATAATCAAACTCGCCACAAAGTTTGTCCGATACTGTTTACTGTATATTTATACGTTTTATATTGAGTTTTAATAATAAAACGGACGGAAGATATCACGTATAAATTTGTACAGGAGTATCTAGAACACGAATGTTTATAAAATAGTAGAATTTCAAATTGTAAAATTCTTAATAACTTCTTTAACAACAACCATTAATACTTCTCTGACTGGATCATTTAATTCTTGACGTAATCCTAGAACCATCTTAAACGAAAACCAGAAAAATTCTGTAGTCTTGAAACATCATACTCTAACGAACTCTATGAACTAATGTCCTTAACTAAACTCGCCACGAAGACATTGTTTGAATGCTACTGCCCACTTAACCGTTTACTGTCAACTGCCCTGTAACTACACTCGCTACTGTACTTGTCGAAGTGTAAATCGGTCTTTATAGCACACTGAAAGTTCTGCGCTCTGCGCATAAATGTTTGAATTTCGACTGTAATATTTAAAACATAAAAAACTCTTTTCTTTTCTTTGGTAATGGCCTCGTTCTATTGTACTTTGGCCAGTTTCGAGCATTTAAAAATTACGCAATAATTTGTTTAGAAACTTCTTCACATTATGTTAATGCGTCAAACTGTGAAGTTTTTGAAAAATTTTGACGACAGTTTGAGCCCGCTAGACGATAGTATCACGTCTAAGCCGACACATTATCTTAGGTTAACATCACCATCTGATCCCTTATTTCATCGTATTCACTAATAGTTCACTCGCGTAGAAATTTAATAAACAAAATAGTACTACTTTTACGTACCAACTTACAATATACTTCAATTTATTACTTTAACAATAATACAGGAGCAGATCATGATCAAGTTTCCGCCAAAACTCAAATAAGAAACTCATTCACTATTGATTAAAATAATTTTAGGCGGGAAGTCCCTTGCAATTGTTTCATCGCAAGCTGAAGTTGGTCATCAGGGGCAAAATTAAATTAACGTGAAAAGACTTTAGGCCGATGATTTTTTATGAGTTCACTCTCTTCGCAAGATTGCATTGCTCGCATTCAAAATGGTTATGGTAGAGAATACATATCATTTAAGCACCGTAAGGCGTTGGTACGCAGAATTTGATTGTGGCCGTGTTTTTCCAAATTGAAATTCGTGAAGAGCGACCCACAACCGAGATCAATCAATGAAAAAAATATGGCTACTGTCAGGCGGCTTATTGCAAAACACTCTCGCCGAACGAATCACCTATGATGAGATTGGAAGACATTTGGGTAATGGTATGAGCCAAGTGCAAAAAATATTAATTTTAGTTATAAAACTTTGTTTCCACTGGATTACTCATGAACTCACCCCAGAGCGAAAACAGATTGGAGTTGTTTGGTATAAAATATGTTGTTAAAGTATCATTATGCACCTTCAAATACTGTGTATGATGACATTGCGAGATGAGATGCAACATACCATCGCGGTAAATGCAATAGGTTGAATGTGAAAAAAATTTTCTTTTTTGGCATGTTAGCATCCAAAACATGCTTCCACAACGTTTGTAGAAACTCCTATGTCTACCGAACAATCAGAAGCAAGCGTTTGAATTATTTGCAATATGACCAATGAAAGACGTCTTTATTTTGGTTCCTGCAAATTGTCCTATGTCATTGTATTCCGCTGATGCGAGACATAGTTTGTTGTTCAAGAGGTGAATTTACGAATTTAAACTTCATAAATTTGTTGTGTAAGTAATCCATTCTTTTTTTAATATAATTTAACCAACAGACAGTAATAATATGTTATATTTTTAATCATAACAAAGGAGTAAATTTCAAACTTAATACTTACCTCACTTTTTTGAGTTTATAATACTTGATTGATTGTGATTTTAAATTATTTTCAAAAAAATAACTAGGTTTATATAACTTATGTTATGATTAACCTTTTTTTGTATGATATATTAAAACTTTTTGTATATTTTGGTTGATAAAGGAGATTTTGCAGTAATCGTATTTTGGTAATAAGTATTGACATAGGAACTATTGCATTTTTGACAAATGAGTATGTTATTTGTTGCAGGATTAATAACAGAATAAACCTATTATGTCAGGAGCTAGAAGCTGTCGCTTGGTGAAGCAAGCTATTAGTACTAGCACTGGTTTATTCAGCAATCCAGCTCAGTTAGTTGGCACAGCCTAAGTCAGGAGGACTCTACGAAAAAAGTTGCAGCTGGTGCTCAGGTATAATCACCGACAGCAGAATTCATCGTAGAACAGCATATTATTAGAGAACACGAATGGTTTACACATCTATCCGAAGCCAAACGAACGCCCGAGATTGGGGTGATTACGCCCTCCGGTGAGTTTGTAATGGAATATACAACACAAACCCATCCTGTAGAAACTGATAGGCACGATAAAAACATGAAAAATCAATTAGACATTGATTTTAGTTCAGGATCGGATGAATTATATGCCCCACCTGAAAGTGAGAATGACAGAGAGGTACAAGTAGATGATTGTGTTGGATCAGTCATTGAAACTTCAATTTAAGATGGCCTGGTGGCTAATGTAACGTCACAATAACAGTCGCAATCGATATCGGACACAGACAAAAATATTCCAGATCAAGAACAACTAAAACCAAGAAAACGTAAAGGTCAAGTTAACATGAATGAGTGGAAGAGATTTAAAAATGCTAAGTTAAGATTGAAGGGAAAGCCTTATGTTGGGTTTGGAAATCAGAAAAGTGGTAAATACAAGCAAAATAAAATAAAAGAAGGTAAATGCTTAGGTCCAAGATGTAATGGGCATCAAGCCCAAAACAAGTTTCAAATGTGATACTAGGAGGATGATCGAAAGTCAATACATTTACACTTTTGGAATATGTCATCTTGGGAGGCTAAAAAAGTTTACGTCACTGGGTGTGTATTGCGGGCACGTCCAAAGTAGAAGAAAGACTACTGATATTACCACTTTAAGAAAAAACACTGGCTTTACATTCTACTTAACTATGAACGAAAATGGAGACGATGTGAAGAAACGTGTATGCCGAAACATGTTTATAAACACTTTAAGTATTGGTGAGAAGACGGTACGCTCATGGACATTATCAGATCAACCCAGTACAAGCCTTGAAAACGAAGATCATCAAGCGCAGATCCGACGACAAAAATCAAACATGGTTAAGAATGTAGAGGAGTTTCTGAATTCACTGCCTAAAGTAGAAAGCCATTATTGTCAAGCATCATCCAATAAACTCTACGTTGAGCCTTTGTGGTCTAGTCTAAGAGAGATGTACCGCTTTTATAAATGAGTGCCAAATACAAAACAAACTTGCATCATCCTGGAAAACCTTCTACAATACTTTGAAAGTTATGAACTTAGACCTTTATATACCCAAAAAGGATCAATGTAATACATGCACACTGTATAAGACAGGAACATGCGATGAAGAAACATTCCAGAAACATGAGCAAAAGAAACTATCAGCAAGAGAAGAAAAAACGAAAAACAAAGAACGATGCATTAATTGTCCTAATACTGCAACCTATACCGTAGATCTACAGGCTGCGCTATTGGCTCCAAGACTAAATGCAAATATAAGACTAAGTTGAAGGTCCACAATGAGATCTTCTTCAAATTAAGTACTAAAGATGCCGTATGCTATGTTTGGCACGAAGCAGTGGCAGGGATTGAATCATTTGTATAAAAGGATCAATTGATCCATTTATACAGAGTTTTTAAAAAAGGCAATAGAAAAAAAAACGTCTCGAAAAAAATTACCATTTGGAGTGATGGGTGTGGATATCAGAACCGTAATATCAAACTATCTAATGCACTACTTGAATTGAGCATTAAAACAAAAGTAATAATAGAACAAAAATATTTGGAAGTTGGACACACCTTCATGGAAGTGGAATCCATTCATTCTACTATGGAGCAGAAATTGCGCAATCGAAGAGAAGTCTATACACCTGCAGACTACATTCCTATAATTCAATCTGCAAGACAATGTCCGAGTCCCTATGAGACAATTATCTGTCATAGTGATGATTTTTATGCTTTTCATCCAGTATACTACAAAAGTATTCGCCCTGGCAACAAAATTGGCAATCGCTATGTTAACGATGTAGTTGCATTTCAGTATACACCTAATGGAATTATTCATTACAAACTGTGCTTTCAAGACGAATGGGCTGAATTGCCTGTACGACCAAAACGTTTGGAATCACTGCCAGACCATCCCAAACTGTACACAGGGCCAATTCCAATTGAAGCTTCAAAATACACCCACTTGCAAGAACTAAAAGAACTGATTCCACAAGATTATCGTCAATTCTATGAGAATTTAGTTCACAAATAAATATGATCTTACCTAATAAATAAAAACTTTAATACCTACATGCTTTTTTCTTGTTTCTATACTGAAATCAATTCTACCTATGTGATCAAAATGGGTACAAAATACAGACGCAATATGCCCTATGTCAACTTTTCGCAAAAACTGTTAAATCAATAACCACCATTGTAATATTTTATAATGTAACGTCCAATTTTAGTATTAAATACATTATCACAAATCATATTTAACTAACATAAAAATAAAAAAAAAAACAGTTTTTAGTACTTCCTGTAAAGTACCTAGCTCACATTCGACCTATTGCATGTACCGCGACGATTATGGTTATATACAGGAAAGAAAGCAACAGTCTTGTGTATGGGTGTTCGAAGGCGACGGCAAACTATTAATATTTAAGCAGGCAGGCTAGTGTCGTTGAAAAAGTTAAGGAAAAACGATCAAGAAGTCGCATCCTATTTCAAACACTATAAAAATGTTACGGCGCACACCCCGAAAGTGCTTTTTTGGCTTCTAAAATGGTAACACTCATGCACACAGTCCAGGCCTCGCATCATACGATCGATTTATTTATTTTTCCAAAAACGTCTGACCATGATAGCTTTCGATCAACACGTGAAAAACATGCCAATGGCCCTTAAGTTTTTACAAATTGTTTGAACGAATGAAAAAGTGTTTACGGAAAACTATTACTGGTGTAAGTACGCCACCTAGGTATTACATATAGCACAGTTAAAAAATTCAACTCTTTCTTCTTAGAATGAATAATTCACAGTGCTAGAAAGTATAAATATTCACTGCATATATTTTCACCGTAAATTTCGAGAGAGTGACATTTTACATTTCATCATAAAATGAATTAATTATTATTGAACTGTTGCGATATACATAGCTGAATTTATTTAAGTTTTCCATAATTATAATTAAGCAAAGATAGTCTTTTGCTTCTGCTAACAAAATACGACATGCCAATTGTGAGACACTTTTCTTATTAATTCTCTACTTTTCATTCGTTAACAACTAATAAACTAGCTAGCCAAACCACTAAGTTATTAACAAAATAAATTTAATCTAAGAAAATTTACGGACTTTATGAACCTGTTCGTCGGATCATTTAAATAAAAAAAAATCTTCCATTTATTTCTAAAATGTAATTAGTCTGTTAGTTTACGGGAGTGGATAAAAATTAAATTAACTTTTTGACATGAGTTCAGAGGGTCGGAAACAAATAAGCTTAAATAATTTTACACTTATTTCCGAGCATACTAATTTTTCTCTTATTAGTATGGCCAAGTTTTCATTGGGATACTTTTAAGTTATTTTAAAGAAATTTTATAGAGAATATTTTTAATTATATTTTAATTCCTACGTACCTTTTTAAATTGGTAGAACTATTATATGGTTTCATAAAATGGTTCTGCTCTCACAGATATACCAGTGTAGAGAACCAGAAACCATTTTTATTGGTAACGTAATATTTTAACTTAATTCTCCGGGGTGACAACGCATCTCTAGGTTTTTATTACTAACCGAAGATATACGTAGGTGTCTGTCTATAAGCCACAGCGCTCACCATTATGTGGACTGTGTCCTCATTCGTCGCTCTTATTCTATTAAATGACCTAAGACAAAAAGTATAGCATAATTGCTAGCATGGTTTCTGTAGCTTTGAAATATTAATACTGCATATTAGATTTACATATTAAATTCTTCAAATAATAATAATAATTTATTGACAGAAAACAAAGGCCCGTAAAAAAGAAACAAGTACTTACAAGTAACAATAATAAAAAATTGAAATTAATTAAAATAATACTGAAATACAAAAATAAATATAAATAAAATAAATGCGGTCAAATAAATTAAAACTTAAATCTTAACATACTAGACCAATATTTAAATATTTCACTACAATTTTGCGTAATAATTTGTAAAATCGCGTTTCCAGATTTGAGAAAATTACTTCTATATCTGGCCACACGATGTCTTATCAAAGCATCGAGCGTCGGTACGCGTGTATACTAATAATATTACTGTAGTAGTGTAAATAATAATACTTCAGCGAACATTGTAGATGCACTACAGTACCTCGGAAAACGAAATAATATTCGGAACGAATCGTTACACTGAACCTTAAAAAAATCGATACTTTTCCTTTTAAATTTAGTCCAGAGATGCGGCATGTAAAACGATTGGCAATAGGCTATATATATATATATATATATATATATATATATATATATATATATATATATATATATATATATATAGGAGGTTTTAAATAGTAATATTTTAGCATCTCGCTCGCACTTATTAAATTTCCTGTCAATCAAATTAGCACGTACAGCCAGAGACTGCCTTTCTCTGTCCATGTCCTGATCATCCCTCAGGTCACTCGATACGATATGTGCTAAAAATCGAAAACTGTGACGAGCTACAAATTTTACCGTTCAAGTATAATGGCAAACATCTTTACTATGTGCTCCAAAGACCATTGCCACAGATTTGTCAGCATTATAAAATAAAAATAACCACTGTTGAACATTATTCTCAATAGGATTTGTTTCTTTGCCAAGTGCATAGATTATTGGCCAAATGGATTGTCCCCTGTTATAGAATACTATATTTTCAATGTACCATTTTGTTGAAGACACATATGGTGAAGGACAATAATATTATAAGTATGTCTTTTATTTTTAATATTATTGTTGGAGGACAGGAGGGATCAAAAAAATGTTAAATAAAATTGGCACGGATGCGGTGATTCTGAGGTAATTCTGCAACTGTCCACAATGTATCCAGTATGGATAATAGGAGTTTAGGTTTAATTTGAAAAATAATTTAGGTTTTATAATGTTATAATATTTACTCAAAAAGCAGGGCGGTTTTAAAGTCCCTTCAGCGGTGCCAAGTTGACGGTCGGTATATTGAAGTGTTTGTACAGTAGGGCTACGATAGCTATCCCTGTACAAAACCAGAGAACGAAACCTGTCCAACTGCAGAAAGGTGGAAGACAGGGTGACGTTATATCCCCGAAACTCATCAACGCTGCATTGGAAGTGATTTTCAAGCTACTGGACTGTAAAAAATATACGGCATTAATATCAATGGTGAATTCATCACTTACCTTCAATTTGTCGACGTTATAGTCCTTATGATAGAATCGCTGGAGGGCCTAAGCACTACGCTCTATGATCTCAATAGTGCTTCCCAACTCATAGGTCTTAAAATTAACATGGAGAAAACAAAGATGATGTATAACATCCAAGTCACACTTGTATCCATGTTACACACTTTAGTTTTTTTGGGAGCACCAAGCCCGAAGTTGTTGACCAATTTACCTGGAACAAATAGTCCAACTTCAGCCAAGAGTTCAATCGACGGATGTAACTTAGCTGGGTAGCGGAATTACGATACTTCTTCGAGTCAGGTATACCTCAAATTTAATTTAAATCGAAATTTTAATTTGATTTAACAAAATGATCAAATTATTACTAATAGAAGTACTGATTTTTACGAGCTTCTCTACCGTTTACACACGCTTTTTGTGTTGACGCTACTACAGATACAGCAGCTTCACGCCCTAATTCAGCACATTCCAACGCAGCCCAGGGGGATTCGGGAAGTTCGGACAGTCAGACCTAAGTTGTAACTCGTATTGTAATGTCGATGAATCAATAAATTTATATTTTTTATTTTTAAAAACGTTATCTCTCTCGGCATCATAATTCACGAATATCAATATTACATAAATATTACACAAAAAGAAGTATGGTTTTATAAGGTTTAATATAGATCGTACAATATTTTACTGTGAATTTTAGAATTTAAATATTGTCGAAGTAAAACTTCTTGATCAACAAAGTGGAGATATTTTGTACGGTATTAAAAAAAAGTAACGTTTTCTTGTAATGTTTCACTACCGGGGCATGATCAAACTACAATATTATGTAACCAACTTATGTACGTAGGCGGTCCCATAATGAATTGGCCTAACTATGAACCAATGAAGGAAATGAAACGAAACCAATTTTATTTTTCAATATAATCACCATGAATACTAACACACTTCTGACATCTGTGAATCAACATCTCTAAATCTTTATAAAAATAATCACATTTTTATCCTCAAAATGACTGAAGACGGCCGCCTGCAACTCTTCATCGCTTGAAAATTTTCTTCCTCTTAAGTCCCGCTTTAAATTTGGAAATAAATAATAGTCGGACGGGGCCATGTCTGGACTGTAAGGTGGATGTTGAACTTCTGTGAACCCGCATTGACGAACTGCATCCTTCGAAACACCAGCGGTATGAACAGGGGCGTTGTCATGGAGCAACAGGACACCTTTAGACAGCTTGCCTCTTCGTTTTTCCTTTATCTTGTCTCGTAATTTATATATTAAAGAAGCATAATATTCGCCGTTCACGACTGTATTACGTTCTTTAAAATCCACCATCAAAATGCCTTGAAAATCCCAAAATATTGGGCACATCAGTTTTTTAGTCGATTGTTGCACCTTTGCCTTTCTAGGGGGCTTTTCACCCTTATAACGCCATTCCATTGACTCGCGCTTGCTTTGTGGATCATAATACAAGATCATAGTTTCATCACCAGTCACTAGCCGCTCGATCATAGTCTTTGGATTTTCGCCACAAAGATCCAAAAACTCCGAAGCGCAGCGCACTCTTTCCTGTCTCTGTACCGCTGAAAGAAGTTTCGGTACCCATCTTGCACTCACTTTTTTCATGTGAAGATGTTCATGGATCGCGCGATGAACGGTACTCTTAGAGAGCCCAAGCCTTGCTGCAATTTCTCTAATCTTCAGACGGCGGTCACTCAGAACCTCCTCTTCTATAAGAGCAATCGTTTCGGGAGTGAGCACTTCCACAGGTCGACCGTCGTGGCCAAAGTCTTCGACGGTTTCTCTCCCGAGACGAAACTCTTTCACCCAATTTTTCACTGTGCTATAGGAGGGGGCAGACTCCTTATACACGCCATCCAATCG